CTACTTTAACTCAGCAACAGCGGGAACGCCTGCTTGTGCTGCTAGACGAGTTCCATGACTGTTTTGCGTCGACCTCGAAAGTTGGCCGGACGTCCTTGACCAAGCACCGAATCATCACAGAGGACACGGCTAGACCAATCCATGAAAATCCGGACCGTGTGGCTTCAAAAGAACGAGAAGCGATAGAACAGCAGGTAACAAAAATGCTTGAAGATGACGTCATTCAACCGTTAAAAAGCCCCTGGGCATCACCTGTTGTTCTAGTGAAAAAGAAGGACGGCAGTCTGCGTTTCTGTGTGGACTATCGAAAGCTAAATCAGGTTGCAAAAAAGGACGTGTACCCGCTTCCCCGCATAGATGATTAGATTGACAGGCTTTGAAACGCATGTTACTTCTCCTCCATGGACTTAAAGAGCGGATATTGGCAAATTGAAGTAGACCCCAGGGATCGTGAAAAAACCGCTTTCGTGACGCCAGACGGACTGTACGAATTTAAGGTTTTACCATTTGGCTTGTGCTCCGCGCCTGCTACTTTCCAACGTCTCATGGATACCGTTCTCTCTGGCCTTAAATGGAGAACCTGCCTAGTATACCTTGACGACGTCATTGTGTTTCTACAACGTTTGACGAACATCTTGAACGATTGCAAATGGTCTTGCAGGCCATACGGGCCGCTGGCCTGACGCTCAAGCCAGAGAAATGTCACTTCTGCTTTGAGGAACTGCAGTTTCTTGGCCATGTTGTCAGTTACGCAGGAGTTCGTCCAGACCCCGAAAAAGTTGCCGCCGTCGCACAATTTCCAACACCATCAGATAAAAAGGCATTGAGGCGTTTTCTGGTTCTCTGTGCATATTATCGGCGGTTTATTCCAGATTTTGCGCGCATTGCGTCACCTTTAACTCGTCTCACGAGGGATGATGTAGCATTTGTTTTGGGCGACGAACAGGAAGATGCTTTCAATGACTTGCGGCAACGTCTACAGACGACCCCCGTGCTTGCCCATTTTGATGACACAGCCCCTACAGTGGTGCTCCATACTGACGCCAGCAATGTTGGCCTCGGAGCTGTGCTTGTACAGCGCCAGGATGACGAGGAAAGAGTGATTGCTTACGCAAGCAGAACTCTGTCATGCACAGAAGCAAATTACTCGACCAATGAAAAGGAATGCCTCGCCGTGGTGTGGGCAGTTATGAAATTTCGCCCATACCTGTACGGCCGCCCATTCAAGGTTATCAGTGACCACCATTCGTTGTGTTGGTTAACAAGTCTGAAAGATCCTTCCGGGCGATTGGCACGCTGGAGCCTTAGACTACAGGAGTTCGATATAACGATGATGTATAAGTCGGGAAAACGACACACGGACGCCGACTGCCTATCTCGATCACCAATAGGCTGCTGCTTTTGATGAAGAGACAGCGTTCCTCGGAATCCTCGACACGTCAACCATCGCAGATCACCAGCATGACGATCCTGAGCTACTTGGCTTGATTCATTATTAAGAAGGACGAAGCCAGAATGCACCCACAGCCTTTACAAGAGGACTATCGTCGTTCTGTCTGCAAAACAATGTCCTTTACAAAATGAACTTCTCGTCAGACGGGTCCACCTACCTGCTTGTCGTCCCTACCACTCTTCGTTCTGAGGTGTTGCAAGCGTGCCACAATGAGGTAACATCTGGACATTTAGGCTACACGCGCACACTAAGCAGAGTTCGAGGGAGATATTACTGGCCAAGACTCACCGCTACGGTGAAGCATCATGTTCGAACCTGCCTCAATTGCCAGCGGCGCAAGTCACCTCCAAGGAAATGAGCCAGTTTGCTACACCCTGTCCAGATCCCGACAACGCCATTTGACCAGATCGGAATGGACCTTTTGGGCCCACTTCCCACCTCTAGTGTTGGTAACCGCTGGGTTATAGTGGCGACCGACTACCTTACTCGCTACGCCGAGACAAAAGCCACCCAGAGAGGCACAGCAGAGGAGGTAGCCCGGTTCTTCATAGAGAACATTGTGCCGAGACACGGTGCGCCATCTATCATTATAACAGATCACGGAACCGCATTCACGGCCGCGCTTTTAGATCATGTGTTGGTGCTCAGCGGTACTATTCATCGCAAGTCGACAGCTTACAATCCACAAACCAACGGGTTGACCGAGCGACTTAACAAAACTCTGGAAGACATGCTTTCAATGTATGTGGACTTCGAACACAAAAACTGGGACGAGATTCTCCTTTACATAACGTTCGCATACAATAATGCGAAACAAGAAACCACACGGATGACCCCATTCAGCCTTGTTCACGGACGAGAAGTAAGAACGATGTTAGACGCGATGCTGCCACACGAATGCGATGACAACGAAACGAGTGCTGACGCGTTTACTCAATGCGCAGAGGAAGCCAGGCAGCTCACACGTCTGCGAATATACCAACAGCAAGAGTACGACGCAGGCCGCTATAACCAACGTCAACCACCTGTAACGTACGAAACCGGGGCAGGGTATGGGTGTGGACGCCTGTATGAAGATGGGGACTATCCGAAAAATTGCTCAGAATATACTAAGTGACGTTACCTATGAAGTCGTCCCGGATAGCCCAAAATGTTCAAGGCGTCGGCAGCACCGACCTGAGCTTGTGCACGTAGTGCGCATTAAGCCATACGTCAGCGAGTGACTCTGTGAGGCACCGTCGCTTCTACAAAGTGACTTCATGCGCAAATTACTGTCTCAGCTATAGCATTGGGGCGATGCTCTTTTAAGGGGAGGCAAATGCCGCGCCCGAAACAAAGAACGAAGACGATGTGCGCGCCAACAGCCTCGTGAAAAGGGGGACTGAAGAAGACGACGTGCTTTTTTTTTGCTCGCCTGCTCTTGGCTCCTGCATAAAAACACACGCCGTCGGTTCTCGGACTCAACGTCTCGGTGCACCGCTTATGTTGAACTGCGACAATAGGTTTAATGTAAAGTTTTTGGGTGCAGTCAGACAAGTGTTTACAGAAATGAAGGGATGCTTTTGGTAGACATGAGAGTGCGTCAAACCGAGCACCAGTATAAGAAACAACGCCGTCTTATCATTCGTAGCCTATTAATGAAGTGAGAATATTCGAAGTGTAAGCGATTGACATCATTCATTGTGAACCAGCGACTTCACCAAAACAGCAGGACAAGTCGGTAGGCACGAAGCGGGCAGCCGTTATTTTGTTACGTGCCTTAATGAGCTTTTTTGATAATGTATTCTTCACAGTGCATGTTGACATTTTTGGTTTTTTCGTTACTACTTAAAGAGAAAACTCTGGGACACGGCTGCGAAGTGAATACTTCAGAATGCAGAGCAGACAATTCGCCTGCATCTGTTGATCTGTTGAGCTGCTGTCTACCTCACTTCCGGTCAACTGTAATGGTGTCATTTCCGGTATCGGAAATTGCGTTGGTGGCAAGTGTTTTTCTTGGGTAAACTACTTGCATTTCGATAGTGAAATTTGACAAGCAGCATTGTCTCCAGCTAGACTGCTTATGAATCGGCTTTTTGGAGGGTGCACAGCATCGTTGCAGTTGGCATTTAACAGTTTCCTGTTAGTAAAAGTGTCGTCGTTATCAAGCTTGCTACAGATACTGCATTTGCTACCTCGTCTGTAAATTTAAAACCTTTTACCGCTTTGTGACACAAGCTTTTGCCTTTGCTGCCAGAATGCGGTCTTATGTAAGCTTGGCGAGTTTTCATCGTCCTTGATCTCTCAGCCGCTAACTCAAACTTCGTAGCATGCTGTTCATGGTTCAGTGCTTGAGTGCGGTTTTTTTTACTCCAGCTCTTCATGTTTTGGACAAACTTCCCGCGACAGCATACTGAACGGCAGGCTAGGCCTAATCAGTGTTGGTTGAGTTTTGGTGACGGTTGCAGTGATGTTGAGGTTGGTACAGAATTAACAAAACTTTTTGAGGTGGCTGCATTTCAAGAGAAGGGATGCATATTGCTAATAAAAACGAGAGTGGCACGTGTAGCACTTGAGTAGTGATTTGTGATTACTTGAAATCGGCTGCGCACCTGTGAAATCAAACAATCGGGGTCTTTCAGCACTCGAAATTTCGAACTTGATGCGACGTAGTTTATGCGCAATGCACATAGTCGAGGCGATCTGAGAAGTAGTCAACAAATACCTACAGCTATGTTTTCTTTTGTTAGACACCCCCCTTTTCACATTCACTTTGTTGGCAACGTGTGTCTTTGGACACTATTTTTTTTAAGATTTCAAAATTTAGATGGTTGTAAGCACCACGCATCGAATGCTTCAATTCTTGGACACGCGAAGCTGCATGCTCAACACATTTTTCACAAGTGCGGCCCTTGAAGAAGGTTGTTTTGAGTAAAGTGCGATATCGCTTATAGTGTCGATATTCACAACTCCCACAACTTCCGTTAGAAGCGGTCTATACTGTATTGATCTACCTGCTACATTTACATTACTACCACAGGTGAAGGAAAGAAATGGCTCAATGGGCTAGTAAAGTATGACTGATATTTAATTTTGTGCTAATATGACAAAAACATTAGCATGCCAATGCCCCACCTCAACTCCACATATCACAACATGTTCATCATGCTGCTGTCATTGGATAGATGCTATGTATACACAGCTTACACTTAGTAGGGCTAGGCATACAACGTTGCTGCAGCCCAGTGGTGTAGTCAGGGGTTGGCATACCAGGCCCATGCCCCTCCCCCCCTTCTCAAATTCACCCCCCCCCCATATTATACAAAGCACAGAATGACGCTCGATCACATCTACGGACCAGGCACCACTTCAAATTGTAGTGGTCTAACCTCCTCTCCCCCACACACACAAAAAAAATATGCCTACGTCCCTGTGGCAGCCCACACACATTCTGGTGCTCACCTCAATGTTGTCATTCAGTGCCATGACTGTGTGTATGCAAAATGTGAAGACACACATTACATGTACATAAAGAATAGCAGGCCAGAATAAGTTCACCAAAACTTACTAATGCTGTTACACAGGGAAAGCTGTCTGGCATGGTTCGTAGAAGGGTCAGGCTTCGTAAATCCCACAGTTCAAAAGGCTGATCTTTGAAGAGCACTACGAAGTACTGCCTGAAATAGTGTTGCACATAAAAAAAGTGGAAAATTCAAAACTTTGTAAAAGACTAGAAAAGGTCAGCATATATCAAAGCTTCCCATGTTATATTATATACACCAAAAGAACAAGAAGTAGAAAATATTTGTGGCGATTGAGGATGCATTATGAAGAATGCTTAGTGCATTCAGCGATTGGTTATATAGACCATTCCATCGGGCGAAGAGGGCCGGACTGGCAACCATTATCATATTTGACCCCTAAATGAATGAAAACTTCCAGGATGTCTCACAGACTCATTTTCTACATATGCTGTACCATTTGTGACGGAATTCAGCATGCCTGAACGAAAAAAAAAAAAAAAAGACTGCAACTGCAATTGTATGCATACCTTCCATAGAAACATGGAGCTTCGCATGCTCCAGTGAGTTGCCAGACCAGGGACGGAGCCGCCCGCTAGGCACTATGACGGCGCCCACGTCAAAAAGTTTTATAAAAGTCATACTATTACTTCATGCACTTTTTTTTGAAAATGAAGCAGGATTAGGGTTAATAAACAGTCAAACCTACCCACTTATTAGACCATTTACTGATATAAAAGAAAGACATTTTTCGCTACACAAGTCCAATATACAGTGCAATACCATCAACTCTTTCGTTATCACACCTATAGAACATAAGTCAGCGGTACCATGAACACGCCAAGCAAAAAAATAAAAATACTGGTGTTCTTATGAACTAGTTGCACCACCTAGCACATTCTGTAAGCACTAATGTGTAGTTTCTAGCGTAGTTAGTGTTTTTCCCCTGAGTGGCAGTGATTTTTAACAGTGATTCCAAGATAGCGGTTGTGGTAGCGCAAGTCTCTCAGAAACGTAATAAATTACACAGTTTACACAGAGAGCTCAAATGTGTCTCTAAACAACCCTCGGTCTACCGGCCCAAATGTGTTTGTACAAAATTGTCAAGATCCCTTTAAAGGGGCCCTGAAACACTTTTTTGAGTAAGCATAGAATTAATTCACTGGAAAAGCGTACTACTTCACAAATCCCATGCTGCAAAAATATTAAAAATCCGTTCAGTACGAGCAGAGTTACAAAGATTTGTCATACACTGCAATGGCATTCTCTTTTCTCTCGTCCCGACAAAAGCGCTGTAAGCTAAGCAGGGAGGGATGGGAGGGGCAAAAAAAAAAAAAAAAAAAACGTCCTGTGCGCCTTGTGACCTTAAGCACTTTTTCCTTTCTTTTTTTCTTCTAATATGCGGCTTTTTCAGTGCGATCGCGGGCATGCATGGACAAGTGACGGCCTCTCGCGGTGATCTCTGCAACAACCGAGCGCGCCATGTTCGAATAAGCCAATGGCTGATAGATGGGCTTACTAAGAGTGATTTTTGGGCTTATTCCGTGATTCGTTGAGCGAAGAGAAAGTAATCTTTAGCTGACTTTGATGATTTATTGTGAATTGCAGGCTGCGTGCTGCGATATAACATTTTGCTAGCGTGTTCTTGGGAGCCTGTACTACTGATCGGCAGCGCTTCCTGACCATGCTCAAAAAGTGTTGCAGGGCCCCTTTAAACAACGAGCATAGTGAAGTTTTGAAAAATGCTGAGACAATAAAGTCAGGCTGATAAGCTGGCACCCGAGAGTGACTGCAGGTCAGATTTACACGCAATCTCATTCAGCCAATATTGCTGCAATGCTAGTCTGCACACAAGCCACAAACTTAGGTTAATATACATTCTGCCTCATCCTGCCAATAGTCCAGTTCTTGCACCCTACGACTTCTGGCTCTTCCTCAAACTTAGGGATTTCTTTTTTAAGAACAGTAAAGGTGCTCTAGAAAGCACACACCTCGTGGGAATCTGAGGTGTGCTTGCAACCATTTCGCGGGCATTTCCGCCGTACTGCCGCTCCCCTTGCCTTCTCCCGCGTTTTTGTGACAGTGCGTGGCGATAGATGACGCCGCACAAGCGTCGGGTGCCTCGATATCCTCCTCACCTGATGACCTGAGGTCGAGGAGGACATCGAGGCATTCAAGCATAGTTCGTGGTCTCAGGCCACGAGAGCCGGTGAGACCGAGCTACATGCACGCCAGGGCCGCTCTCTCTCTCCCCTTCATCCGCGCATTGCTGGCGCATTGCTTTTTATGGGTGAAGCTCCTTAAGGCGTGGGTCTGTCCATCCTTTGTCGTTGTCGTACGTAGCTACTGGGATTCGAGATGGGAGATGGCGGTAGTTGGAGTGTTCACTAGATGGATGCACGGACGGAAGCATGGACAGACAAACAGACAGACTAGCAGACGGACGGACGGATGGACGGACGCGCGGAGCAGGTATGTGCCACAGGGGATGTGAGATGGTGGTACTTGGAGTGTTCGCTAGATCGACGCACGTACGGATGGACAGACAGACTAAAAGACGGATGAACAGATGGACGGACACGCGGACGTACGGATGGATGGATGCACGGACAGACGGATGGACGCATGGATGAAAGCACGGATGGTCGCGTGGACGGATGAAAGCAAGAACGAACAGACGAAAGCACGGACGGGCTGACGATGGCTTTGCCTCACTCATCATCATTGACTCCGTGCATATGCTGTGATTTTCTTTTTTCACTTGTGACACTGGCGCCCCCTGTAATGCGCCACGAGCATGCAGTTTGCTTTCGAGCCGATGGCGTGCTATCGCTGCTGCAATAGTTACAGCCGCTCCTGTACAGCCATGGCCATGCCTCGCATACGGCTTTATGTAATAATTCTTCTGCATTGATTTTCTCAGCAAGACTGGGTGCATTCACCATCAATATTATGGCAGAAGAGCTGCTGCAAGTTATGCACAAGCTGTAGCGAATTGCACGTCATTTAAACTTTTCGCAGCGTAGTGTTTCCTTGTGTATCTGGCCCTGATACACATAACTGGGTTTATTGAGAACAGGTTGAACTTAAATTCAGTAAACTCGGCACGCTAACTATTGAACGGGAAGAAATATTTAAATTACAGCTGCGGTGTCTTGAGCCATGCCGTTTGGGAAGGAATAGTTCCCGTGTGTACAGATATTTTATAACTGCAGCAATGTCAAAGAGCCGAGTGAATTAGGGAACAAACGGGGGTCAAGGATATCATAGCTGAAATCAAGAAGAAGAAATGGATGTGGGCCGGGCATGTAGCGCGTAGACAGGATAACCGCTGGTCGTTACGGGTAACTGACTGGATTCCCAGAGAAGGCAAGCGGGTTAGGGGGAGACAGAAGGTTAGGTGGGCAGATGAGATTAAGAAGTTTGCGGGTATAAATTGGCAGCAGCAAGCACAGGACCGGGTTAACTGGCGGAACATGGGAGAGGCCTTTGTCCTGCAGTGGACGTAGTCAGGCTGATGATGATGATGATGATAATGAAACACGGCACGGTAATTATTGAACCGGTTAGAAATATTTAAATTACAGCTGCAGTGTCTTGAGCCATGCCGTTTGGGAAGGAATAGTTCCAGTGTGTACAAACTATCTTGATATTTTTTAACTGCAGCAATGTAAACAATGCCCATAGAAGTGCTCGCTCAGAACTTTGTGATATTTCACATGCTATCTTTCCTCTGCCTGTCCAATGACTTGTGCACGCAGTACGCCGTTCTGGGATGTTTGTCATCTGCGGTGCAGTTTGCAAGCATTGTCTCGAGGTTTTACATGTCTTCATGGGCGTTGTAGATAATGTAGGTAATAAAGGTCGCTCTTGCGCACGGAAACTATTTCAAATTGCTGGACGGCCAAGATGAGGCTGTGATGTAAGGTCTAAAAACGCAGTCGCGTCATCGCTGTCAAAATTACCACTTGCCCATGTCTAGCGATATATTCTCTAAACTCAACACACAGTATCACCTCAAAGCATTGAAAAAGTTCGGCATAAGTATTGCAACAAAGCTTTTTTTTTCATTATTTTTGCAAGTACCAGCCGTTAATTTTATAAAGAGTACACGCGACGTGCACACTGTTGCAGACACGGGCTGCGCTTGAGAACAGCCGCGATAATCATAAAACTCGAAACATTAACCACTTTTGAGAGAAAGGCTCTCTCACGTCTTACTTTGCATGCGGCGAACAAGCAAAACAGTGGTGCTTTGGCACATCCAAAATGGCACCAAGCGGCGAAAACCGGTTCTTGGCCCCATCCACCCGAAGAGAAAAGAAGCTCCGGCTGAGAGAAGAGGAAGCGGCGCAGCTCAAAAGAACGCTGTACTTTTCCGAAGATATAGGGGCTTTACTTCAAGCTGCGAGAGTCGATGACTCAGCAGTGATGCCAACCCTATGAATTCACTCTACATTTAAGGATTTTCTACCTCTCTTAAGAATTTTGCATATTTTTTTGTTTAATCTAGGGATTTTTATAAGGCTCTGGAAATGACACATTACTGCCCTCATAAAGGTATAACTTAGTAATCATGCTCTTTCAACTAAAATGGCTGTAAAAGACGATACCGTTGGCTATTTTATGTTCTGTTTATTTAAGACAGTCTTGGTGTTCTGCCAGCCTGAGTGAAGGGAATGGCAGCTCTATAAAGTGAGACTATTATTGTCTGAATGCGGTGGGAAATGAGACTCTATTGTCGTTAAGAGTTAAGGATGCACATGAATATCATTAGTGCTTTGAGCGATTGCTGCTCTGTGAAACAATAATAAACTTTGTGTTGTACCATACACAAACACGTGTTTATGCTTACTGGATCCCTTGGCTGAGCAATGTGTTCATGTGAGACAACTTAATCATGAAGCTGAGAGAATAACAGAGCAAAACTAAGAATGAATAAGGTTGTAAGGTTCATTATTGTGGAAACAGCATGATGAAAAAAGACAAGGAGTGTTCGAGTGTTCTTAGTCTTTCCATCGTGACCTTTAAATGAGAGTGCAAAGGTGATGAAAATATTTTGTTAAACGAGGACCTGATTGAAAGTGCAGTGGAAAGGCATAGCTATCAGCCTGTTAAAAAAGGCCCATGTCATTACGTCAACTGAAAATAATGCAACAGTGATTACAAATGTGGAAAATTAACTATGGTCAGTCACATGTCACCTGCAGGTATAAAAAAGGTACTACAGACTTGCAGTTGACCTAAATGGTCACATCTATGCCTTCAATGTGTGCGCAAAGTGCCTTCAATGTGTGTGCAAAGTGAACCTGACAGACTAATTTGTCTCTGTGGCAAATGGTGCCATCTGGAAGAACTTTATATACAACTTCACAGAACGTGAGGAAAGACCTTGAATGTGGTTAATACGGTTCTTTTTACTTTCAACAAGGTTGAAAAAAAACTTGGCCACAGAGCACACTGTCTAAATACTTGGTTAAGCCAATTAGCCTGAATAATAACATAGAAATATGATCTAGGGATATTTATTGTAATGTAGAGAATTTTCAAGGCTCAATCTAGAGGTAAAATGTTGTTTTTGGTTGGCATCACTGTCGGTGAGACCGAGTCAGGTGCGAGCCGGGACGCTCTCTTCATAGAGTTAACATACAGACTCTAGAGGAAAAGATGGGCTGGAAAAACTATAACCACCAATGTGCGGACATGTTGGAATGTTTTACAATACTTTAAAGAAGCACTATATATAGGAATTAAAAACACTGAAATTCTCGCAGTATAACTCATTAACAAGCATGTTCACATATTATAAATGGACAGAAACTGTGTGTGCTTAACATAAACTAAATTTTAAAAAGATACATTGACCACTTATGCAATTTACTGCATGCAAAAAGGAGCATTTGCAGGTTTCTTCACGAGATGGCACCACCATCCTTGTACCGTATCATTATTTGAGAGCGTAGTCGTGCGGCCGATAGTGCTGGCTTGCTTGTGCACAGGGCGAGTCGTGTACAGAGCCTTGTCATCAGTATCTTTTATTGCCATGAGTCAACTCGACTTCATGTGACAGTCTCTTCTTGCGATGCAACAGAGTGCCATGAAACAGAACAAAATGACTGTGGGAAGTGTGAGTCGACCTCACCCGAAAGCTGAGTATCGTTCCTGCATGACGGCACCAGAGTGGTTATAGGTTTTAATGCATAGGCCCTAAGGGGGGCTTTTTCTCTAGAGTCAGCTCTAGAGCTCTCTCTCTCCTCGGGCAGTGCACGGTAAGCCAATGCCTCCTCTAGAAAGATGTCTGCGACGTGAGCCGAAGAGCTGGTTCTTGGCCCTCTCTTGTTTTCTCCTCCTCCACTCCCTCAAGCAGTGTCGGCTGCGAGCGTTCACTGCGGTGGCCGGATTAAACCTCGCGTATTCTGAGATTAAAGCAATGTCTACTGCCGTCTTGGAAACAACACAGTCATGCCTCTGTGATGGTGTCACTTCTGAATTCAGAGGAAGTAGTAGTGTCAGCTGCGAGCACTCCTCCCGGAGAAAGCACTGAACCATGAGAAAACTCCCATCCCCATAGGAAAGCAAGTGACATGCCAGGCATCTTTCTAGAAGAGGTATTGAGTAAGCCTGTTTTTTCCCTTCCTCTGCATCTCCCTTGAGAATCACCGCATTGTAACCTGCTTGGGTGCCACGGCATTCTTGGTGGACACCTTTGTGCTAGCTCCGCTTCCATTCGGTAAGCCAAACAGCGGTGCCTAGTGCTCGTGTGTGGGCCTACCATGCACAGCCGCACTTTCCGGAGGCCTATGTGTACGAGATTTGCTCTAGCTCTCACAACCAAGCTTAGTGGCCATCGCGCGAGTTTGCAGCATAGCTGCGAGGGACCTTTTTCTGACCAACATGTCAAAGCTCGCCATTGCCAGCTGATGTGCTCGCAGTTTTCCCTTTTTGTGTTTGTCCGCATGCAGGAGCCCTTCGCTGGCCGCATCTCTGGTGCAGACGTTGTACTGTGTTTGAGGTGCGCCAAAGGCAATCAAGTGTTTAAACACTCTCTATTTTGCTGTGCGGCGCTAAACACTTTGCTAGTTCTTCCCGTGTGAAGCTGTGCACTACACGTGAGCAGGCGACAGTATATGTGGCCTTGTGACACTCAAAGCCTCAACCCGCGGTGATTTATAGTATCGAGGCTGCCACAACCTGCACACAGATGATATTATGTGTGTGTATAAGTGTTTCTTCCTTGTGTGATTGTCTATAGTGTGCTTTTACCATTCTTAACTTGCTTACATTACCACCTTGGTAAGGATGACCTTAGGGGCCATTGCTTCAGTTGTGACATAGAGGTGGAAGCAGAAGTGCGGTAGTGGTATGACCAGCAGCTGCCACAATTCTTTGCCGGCAGCATGAAAAAGCTTGTTTTGCGTTGACGTGAGTACATTTACCATACTGATAACTAGGTAAGTTGAAAAACGATACCATCACTTGTAGCTGACAGTGTATGTCATTGATACCTCTATCACTAATAGGCTGGTACGTCTATCAGTGCTATCTGTTAGACAGAAATAAAGGTATTACTTTGGAGACACTACTTTATTATTTGCCCACTTATTATTCGAATCGGTTCAGTATGAGACATGTGACTAACACAGGCACATAGTACAGAAGCACGCATGTAGTATACTGGTTACCACCTCACACGAATGTAGAAGGGAAGAAAACATTAAGACATCCATTGCTTGAGACCATAAGTGGAAAGAAGAGATACTCCGTGTTTTTAAATGTACAGACATGTATAGTTTCTTATTTATTAAAGTCAAAATTGACAAGAGGAGTATTATAATGATGACCTCACAATCACGGAAAAAAAAAAAAGCACATTTCTGTCCCGCCTACTGAGTAGTCGGCCTGCCTGCATTGTATTTGTCCGAGGAAAAAGCAAGCAAGCTTTGGCTCTCTTTGACATGATGTTGCATAATCCCTACTTTATGCAGCGCAATAACATTTAAGTCATATGCTTATAGGGGCCTTAATATAGATCAGCAACCCTTTCTGATTATCCTCAAAAAGTGTGTGGCGGGGCCCATTAGTAACAAACATGACAAGCTTGATAAAATGACCACTTGTAATGAAGACTTACTTTAAGTGGGACACCTTAATGCAGGTAACTGGCGACTCTTCATTGGTGTCTGCACGAACCTGCTGCACTCGGCCTGACGTGATGCTGGTCAGGACGATCTCATTTCGCACTTTGCTGCCAACCGTTACAAGATTGGCATAGGCAAAGGACAGGAATGAGGTAAGGCTCACCCATTCAATTCCTCTGCAAAACAGCCGGTGCATGGGGAAGTATGAAAATGCTGCACAACACAAAAAGAAGTGGCCACAAAGTTTAAAATTAAAAAAACCCTAAATATTCAGCATCAAGCACAGGTCCGAGTTGACTGGCGGAACATGGGAGAGGCCTTTGTCCTGCAGTGGACATAGGCTAATGATGATGATTACTCAGTACTATTCAGGCATGTGGTGGCTCTCAAATGCACTTGGCAGCATAGCTGAAGATTTGATTTATATGTGGGGTTTAACGTCCCAAAACCACCATAAGATTATGAGAGACGCTGTAGTGTAGGGCTACAGAAATTTCCCCAACCTGGGGTTCTTTAACGTGCACCCAAATCTGAGCACACAGGCCTACAGCATTTTCGCCTCCATTGAAAATGCAGCCGCAGTAACCGGGATTTGATCCCGCAACCAACGGGTCAGCAGCCAAGTACCTTAGCCACTAGACCACCGCGGTGGAGCCTTGACAGCATAGCTCTTAAAGGGATACTGACATGAATATTATTAAATATCTTGGGGTTATTGTTCTAAATAAGAACATTGGTTTCGAGAAACCCAAAAGGGGTACCGGGGTGCCTTGGAATGCATCGTACATGTATTTAATACCACTTCTTTAAGAAGACAATTCAAGTTTCGATATCGAGGGGCTGGGTTCTCCGTGAAGTGCCATGTCAGTGAGACGTTACGTGAATCTGCTTGATTGATATGTGGGGTTTAACGTCCCAAAATCACCATATGTTTATGAGAGACGCCGTAGTGGAGGGCTCCGGAAATTTCGACCACCTGAGGTTCTTTAACGTGCACCAAAATTTGAACACACGGGCCTACAAAATTTCCGCCACCATCGGTAATGCAGCCGCCGCAGCTGGGACTCGATCCCGCGACCTGCGGGCCAGCAGCAGAGTACCTTAGCCACTAGACCACCGCGGCGGTGCTCGTGAATCTGCTTGTGGTACACGTAAACAATGATAAATACACTGTCTGTAGAGACTCCAATAGTGATTTCCGAGGTTCAGACTGCTTGCAGGACATATAATTCACAAACTCAGTGGAGCTGAGTTGACTTGTTAGAATAATGTTCATCGCAATGTGGCTGGCTTGCTGATCCTCAGCACCAAAGCCTTTAAAAAACTTTTTTAAAAATATTTTATATGTGCTAGTAGACTGCAGTGTGTGGAGAGTGTCAACACTGCATACCAAGGAAACGAAAAATGTTCCTTTTTCGATCACTGAAAATTGTGTCAATACTCCTTTAATTCGGTGAAATGTTGAATTTCTACTAATACCAAAAACAGAAACTAGTGCCAAACTCTGTGAGTTATGGATGAACCGTTAAGTTGCATCAACTAGGTGGAGAAAAAAATTGCGGGCTAATCCACTTTACTAAGGTGTGTGACCAATTAATGCAAGTATTTGGGCGATTTGGTCATAGATCGTCAAAAAAAAGAAATGTTCAACAGCATGAAAAAACACATGAAGGAAGATTACATGGCTTAGCCCTGACTTCCCACTAAAATTTTTCATTCGGAAAAGACACATATATGTAATAAAAAAACTATAAAACTAAAGAAAAAAACATGAGACAAGCCTTGCACATAAACTCAATCAAGTGACAAAGTTAGACAGTTGCAAATGTTATCTTACAAGTGCATCTGCATAGAAAAAATAATAAACTTCCTTTCTTTATAAATTGATGGAAGGCTTGCTGAAGCATGCTTCCCCCCAAAAGAAGCGATTTGACTGCCTCTAGATCTCTCTAGTTAAAATATTTTTATTTCTGAACACCACCCTGGTTTGCCTATAAACAGGAATGCGCCTTTAGTAGCCATGACTCCAAGATACTAGTAGCCTTGCCGTCGTGTCTACTAGTGGTACTGACAAACATTCTCAGGTTTAAATGAACATATATGCACCATGAAGTGAACAAGGGGGATGATTGTCGCAGTAGCTCAGTTAATAGAGCATTGGACTTGTTATTCGAAGGTTGCAGGCTCAGTGCCTGCCAGTAGAAAGTGATCGTTTCATTCACTTTTCTTTCTTCACATTTATGTCATAATTACTACAAATAGCATCCCCTATACTTTCTTTGGCATCAGGGTCTCTTAGTTGTCATTAACATTGTGTCTAGCACATAAAAAAGTGCTTAAATTTTCATTTCTTTCCTTTAAGTAAAGCGTCGCAGTTTTTAGCCTCCCCGACAAAGAAACGGTTAACCCGCTCTACAGGGGAAGAGTTGTTGTTGGGCTAGTCGGGCTAGTCTTTGCACAACACTATCACGTTCAGCCCTGTGAAATATTTCTAAAGGTGCAGGTGCTTTTACAATTTCCCACTAAAGGCAGCGAGGGAATGGTTCACACCCACTACGGAAGCTGTCCAAGATGCATGCAAGTTTAACATGCTAAATTAAGAACCAAGATGTAATGGTTTATACTCACTACCAACATGCATATGCTTTAACCATCTAACACTAACCACCACATTTCTGCAGAGCTGGGGTCACAGGCTATGTGACGCTGGCTAGCACTTTCAGGTTTACACAAACGGATATATTTCACAAAGTGGACAGGAGGGCAACTGGCACCATTTTTCGATTGGTAAAGCATTGAACACATTATCTTAAGGTTGTAAGTTCGGTACCCATGAGTGCCAAAGATGATTTGTTGTCTACTTTGTTTCCATTCATGTCATAATTACTACGCTGCAGTTAAGAGGAGAAGGAAGGGAAGACGTGAAAAGCAAGGAGATCAACGAGACGCACGTCCAGTTTGCTACCCTGCACTAGGAGTAAGGGGTGAGGGGGTTAAAGAAAGAAACGAGAGGTAAGAGAGCCCTGTCAGGGTACATGCGCCTGTCCATTGCACCCAGCGCTCTTGCTATGTCCTGGCTTTCTACTCCGGCCTCGCCTTTCTCTGCTTTGCACATGCCTAGCATGTACCCTTGCATGAGTGCTGCTGCCTTCCTCACACTTGGCCATGCTAAAGCACTGCATGATGATCAAGTTCTATCTAAAATGTTTCTGATGGGTGGAATGAGCTTTTCCAAGTAACTCTTTGCAGGCCCCGGTCCTTGTGTGGCTGTGTTTGGTGTGGTGAAGTGCAGATGTTTCAGGCAGATGGTGCTTGCTATTGTAGGAAGAGCTAAGCTGCCACTATCACTTTGCCTGTCGCATTTATGAATGCATGGCAGGGAATTTAGAACCATGGCTTCCGAGCTGACATGTGTGCGGCGGGTTTTTCTCCGGCCATCCCAATTGCACGGAGAGTGCATGTTTCCAGAGGTGGGCCTGGCCCACTCTTTTTTCCGCACCGCGGCACTTCTTTGTATGGCAGGAAAGACTGCAGCGCTGTTGGCAAAGCTTGCATGTGGCGATAAAAAAATGGTTTTGAGCTTTTATATAACTTCGCACTCATTTGTATGTCAGGCCAAGGTGTACGTGAGGCAAAGAATATATACGCTTGGGCGTATATATTCTCAAATGAACTTTTTTTTTGCTTTATATTTGTGCCGCCCATATTAGAGCACTTATAATTGTGATGCCTCTGCAAGCGATCCGCATGTGCTGGGAACTTACTCCACTTCGAAGTTTGCAGGCTGTATAGTATGGAGGGCACTGGCAAAGAAAAAAAAAAAAAAACAGCCGGATCAACGAGCGAAATCAGAAGAGTGCCGTGTTCTACGTTCAAGGGCGAGACTCAATTAAAAGGGTTGTTTTTTCTTCCCTTTCATGGAACTAGCGCTGCTTTTCATTTTAAAGCCATTTCGAGAATCAGGATACAGGGAGGAGGGTGCAGGCGGTCGCCATGCGTCTAGACCATGTCTAGACTGAACTTCGCTGGTTCTGCGACAACCACGGGCTGGTTACAGGAACGTTTTGGACAGTTATGGTCACACATTCGCACTGTGAGTTTAATGGTAGTCAGTGGATATGTGTTGGGCAATGTAATAACGAACATTAAAATGTTTCGCTTGTTCAACAAGTACACAACACGCATTTAGAGTTTGATTTACCTGATATGAAATAGTGCGGTATTAAATAGCAGAGACAAATTGATCGTTTTTTAACTGTGCTTCAATTGACCACCTCACAAATATCCGTACGCAATATAATAGTAAAATTATGAGTCATAACTAATCATGCAGTCCCTCTCTGCCCCCGGACTTCCCGCTGCGCCTGTTCGGTTGGCCAGTTCTCTAGCCAGGTTGTGCGCGATTTCGTTTCCGGAGAGGGAGGAGTGAGCAGGTTCCCATATAATATGAACTACCCGCTCGGCTAACTTTTGCGACGAGCGGGTAGTTCATATTATATGGGCACCTGCTCACTCCTCCCTCCCCGAAAACGTAATCGCGCACGACCTGGCTTGAAAACTGGCCGGCCGTGCAGGCGCAGCGCAAAGTCTGGGGGTGGAGAGGGACCACAAGATTAGTTATGAAGAGATAACAAAACACTACAGGTTAGGAAGGGTCCGATTACCGCCGGCACATACCTCGCTCAACAAGCAGCAGGCAACGGCATGGCGCCTCTTACAAACCAACACGTTCCCGAACCCAGTAACTTTTCACTACATCTACCCAGAGATATACTCAGATTTGTGTAAGTTCTGCAATCAAAGGGCGGATCTCAATCATATAGTGTGGGCTTGCCCATCAGTGACAGGGCAATATAAAAAAATGCAGCAATGGAGAGCAGTGGGAGACCGCATTGCTAAGCGCAGACCCAGAAGTGCAACTCGACGTCCTTCGGCAAGCCGATGATGCTGCCAGAGCTCAAGGACTCATGGCTGCCACCTACGGGAAGGAGACAATTCTTCCACATCTTGCCGTTTTTTTTTTTAATAAAGTTATTTCCTCCTTCCTTTTCAGGATAGAAGAGCATTACGATTCAACGACGATAATTAGTCCACTTTTTTCCCATACAAGCCTCTAGAGAAAAAGAGGAATACTAGAGTGCTTTTATATTTCTCAAAGGAGGTATTTAGCATCTAG